CTGATTTCTGCTCTGTATCCACCTCCTTGGCTTCAACCACGAGATTTTCTTTCTCCTCCTCCTCCACCTGTAGAACCTCCTGATGCTCACCTTTAATCTCCTTGACCTCTTCACCACTTTCCTTTTCAGTTTCCACCTGTTTTTCCTCTTGAATCGCAGCTGCACATTCATCAATCATTTTCTGAATTTCAACCTTTAATTCCTCATTAAATTCCTCACTATCCTCAATTACTTCCGAAGGCACGGAGTCGTGATCTTTCATTCTCTCCACCCCTTCCATCACCTCGAGCCTGTCCTGAGGTTCACCTTTCACTGCATCCTCCTCTGTGGTGAATGGAACGTCCCCAAGAGGCTGCTGAACTTCAGTTCGTTTTATCTTCTCCCTTTGTTGATTGTCTTCACATCTATTCTCCTCAGGCGAAGGTGATGGAAGAGGAAGACGAGGTGAAGGACCCTCCAACCGTGGCAAACTTTCCTTGACAGGTGTAATGGAAGTGTCATTGTCAGGTGTAAAGGAATCTGTTCTCTCGCCGGGTTCTACTAGAGTTCGTCGTATCTCAATTTCCCCGTCAGCAGCAACTGTAGTGCTCAAGACGTAGAGATCCCCTTTTTTTGGACTATCAGGTGGTACAATTTCCTTGGTGCCATTGGTGTTAAGTGCTTCCATGCCATCCGTGGTGATGGTGACCAAGCCTCGTCCGCCTCCAACGTCTTCATGGTTATCACTCATTCTCCCTCTCTGATTCAATCGAAAGTGGCTCCTTGACATACACGCACAGCGTTCTATAGGCTGTGCTTCAGTATAAACTCTCGAAAACTCGTGCCATCACGTGTGTGTGTGTGTGTGCGCTTGATGCGTATGTGAGTGTGTGTGTGTGTGTATGTGTGTGTATAGCTGTGCTTTCGCCTGTCTGCCTCACACACCCCGCAATTGCGCGTGCCAGCATTAGCTGATGGTGGAATTGGCGGTCTGTTAGTCACACCAACAACACTTGCGCATGTTCTCGTCTGTCCGTAACACTGCCAAGTGTACGTATATGTGTGTGTGGGTGTCGCAATGCCTTGGCATGACCGACCGGCAAATTACTCCCCGTGTCGGTCTGTTCACGAGGTCGTCGCATTGATCGACAAACTCCACTTCCAACACCTCATTTTATGCATTAAACATTTGCAATGCTCACTTAGAGAAAGGAGGCTGTAGCAAATGCCTATTCCCCTCCTCCAAGCCAGATTCTGTCATCAGAGCATTTTAGTAAAAAAAAAAGACGCAAATGCATGGCTGATAGGAATTAATTGCTCCGACAGGTCTGATAACGAGTTAAAGAGATAAGAGGAGCTCGATCATTGGTTATTTTCAAGGTCAAAGAAGAGATTGACTTTACGTTAAGTCCTTTTGTGTCCTAACATGAAGTGCGAAAGTCCATCATGTAGGCACATGAATGCACTTTCCTGTCTCACCGGGCGGAGGAGTAATTCACGCCTTCTGTGATTTTGCTATTCTCATATGCCTCGGAATAAGCCTCAAGAGAGAAAAAAAAGGCAAATAAGTGATTGAATATGTACAGCAGCTGAATATGGAAAGTGTATCAATGAAAATGAAAGTGGAATCTTCAGTCATGACTTTTTTTAGCTAACAGTACTCGGTCAGATATTTGAAGAACTGAGCACAGATTATTAACCATTATTTAAAAGAATAAAAAGCACCTGAGAAGGCAAAAGCGTTTACCAATTTCCAGACACCCCAACTCTCTGTGCGTGGAGGGAGGGTAGGGGGGTGAGGGTGGCGTCTGAAGGAGCATTTAATTCTAACCTGAAGAAGGCGCTTCTCTGATTGGCCATTTTCAAGGTCATTTTACGGATTAGTTGCGGCGATGACTGCATTATTAACCTGTTGACCCGATATACAAGCAGCGAAAGTTAATGCAAAAATTATTTCGCTTATTCTAAAAGTCAAAAAAAATTCAGAGACAGGCAATTGATCTGGCAATGCAAAGTAAGTAGTTTGGAGAAGAATCAACAATATCAAAACCTAATTCTAATTCTAAACGATAACTGAAGCGATTGCAATACACCTTTCACCTCATTTCATTGGCAACTTTGTTTCGTATTCATAAAAATCTGGAAGCTTATTTGTCCTCCGATTGTGAAAACACCTCCAGGGGCAAGCACAGGCAAGGCTGCCTTGTCATATCTTTAGGTTAAGCCAGGTCAACCGGCAATTAAATGCATTTGGTCGGCGGTGGCAGGTGCCTTGTCATTTGGGTTAATTTATAATTAAAGGCATCTCCGCTTCCATTGTTCTTGATCTGGCACTGCTAATGAGTGCTAAATACTGTATGCACCTACCATCCCAGTTTGTGGAGAGGTGTAGAGTGCCAAAAAGTCAACCTACGAGTCAATCGTAACCGATGTGCCGCGTATGATAGATTGCATTCAATTAGCAAAGTTGGAACGACTTGACAGAATCGCAG